ACTCCCCCTGCTTGTGTTCCCTCTCTCACTATGTCTCTCTCTGTCAAATAATAAATAAAATCTTTAAAAAATAATAATAATAATAAAAGATAGAATGAAGAGGAGGGACAAGCTATGGGGGGAAACAGAAAGAAGGCATCCAGGATGAGGCCAGGCCTGTGGTCCAGGAGACAGGGTCAGTGGTGGGCCTATGCCTGAGCTGGGGACCCTGGAGGAGGAGGCACAGGGAGCTGCAGAGGTCAGGGTGAAATCCTGTGGGACATCCAAGAGGAGGCATCCAAGAGCTGCCAGACACTTGGGTCTAGAGTGCAGAAGAGATGGCAGAGCTGAGAGCGGGAGGCTGTCAGAGCTCAGACAGGGCTGAAATCCTGACAGTGGGAGAAGGTGGAGGGTGCAGCAGGGTAACCTCACATCAGCCAGCCAGGACTGTGGGAAGTGGCCTGGCCCAGGAGAGCAGCCTCAGGCCCCAGGTTCTCATGTCGGTCTACGCCTTGGGGACATGGAGATGGGCAGATCCAGAGCCCACAGGAGTGCCCGATCAGTGGAAGTGCCCAGACTCACACAAGCAGTCCATGCCTCCATGGGGGGGGGGGGGTGATGAATGCGGGCTCCAGGAAGTACAGAGATCTATTTCCAAGGACTAGGGACAGTGGAAGCATCAGGACCAGTTTCTGGAGAGGGCTTGGAGAGGGAAAGTGAATTAATCAGAAGTCTCTCAGCTTCAAGAGCAAACATGTTTAGGGAAATGTATCGTCTCACATTACAAAAGGAAAAAAAAAAAGGCCAAGGGGTCACACCGGCTTCAGCCACAGCTTGATCCAGGAGCTCAAATATGATATGAAGTCACTGTCCAATCTCAGGGTTCCATATTTGTCTGATTTTTTTTCTCTGGAGGACTTTCCTTGAGGTAGTAAACGTGGCCCCAGCAGCTTAGGGCTCACATCCCACCCTCTTAGTGACCCCAAAGGGAAGAAAGGTCTCCTGCCCAGGGGTTCCATTACTCACAAACTGGATTGGACCACATGTTTACCCTTGAAACAAGCACTGTGATCAGAAGGCAGAAGAACTGGAATGCTCTGATTGGCTGGGCCTGGATCATGTTCCCTTCCCCAGAAAGGGAGAGTGGGGTGAGATAAACAGGTGTACTGAAATTTAGAAAGGGGTGGTTTCCCAAAGGACAAGCAGAGGCAGAAGGCTGGCAAAGCTACAGATATCCATGTGGCTGGGAGAAATGGGAGGTGGGGAAACAGCTTCCTCACCTGTTAATAGAGCATGGGAATAGTACCTTATCTCTTAGGTCTAGAGAGAAGATTCAGTGAAATAATGCAGGTGAGGCATTTAGCAGACTTTTCTGCGAAGAACAGGCTAGGTGCTGAATAAATAGCACCTTTTTTTTTTTAAGATTTTAAGTAATCTCTACACCCAACGTGGGGCTGAACTTACAGCCTGAGATCAAGAGTCACACACTCATGGGAGCCAACCAGGCGCTCCTGCAGCTATAATTTTTAAAACAGTAATCAATATTACCACCGCTGAGGATGGACGGTACCTATATGCTGGGAGGTAATAAGCTCCCAGGCACTGGATGAGACCTAGAGTTGAACAATCATACACTGGAAGATCATGTAGTCTACATTCTGCAAGCTCAGTGCCCAACTGGTTTCTCTCCAGGCTGGGTTTTTTTTTTAAGATTTTATTTATTTGACAGAGAGAGACACAGAGAGAGAGGGAACACAAGCAGGGGGAGTAGGAGAGGGAGAAGCAGGCTTCCCGCTGAGCAGAGAGCCTGATGTGGGGCTCGATCCCAGGACCCGGGGACCATGACCCGAGCCAAAGGCAGATGCTTAACAACTGAGCCACCCAAGCGCCCCCTTTTTTTTTTCTTAAATAAAGATTTTTATTTATTTATTTGAGAGAGAGAGAGAACGAGCAGTGGGGAGGGGCAGAGGGAGAGAGGAAGAGAAGCAGACTCCCTGCTGAGCAGGAATCACCATTTGGGGCTCCGTCCCAGGACACAGAGATTATGACCTGAACTGAAGGCAGCCGCTTAACTGACTAAGCCACCCAGGTGTCCTCTCTCCAGGCTTCTGCCTCCAGGTCTGTGAAATGGGATGAGGGGGTTGAATTAAAACACAAGGTCGGGTCACCTTGGTGGCTCAGTTGGTTAAGCGCCTGCCTTTGGCTGGGGTCATGATCCCAGAGTCCTGGGATCGAGTCCTGAATGGAGCTTTTTGCTCAGCCGGGAGCCTGCTTCTCCCTCTGTCTGCCACTCCCCCTGCTTGTGTTCTCTATCTCTGACAAATAAATAAATAAATAAATAAATAAATAAATAAATAAATAAATAAATAAATAAAATCTTTAACAAAAATAAAACACAAGGTCGTTTTAGATGCCCCTTCTCATCAGGTTGCAGCCACATCACTTCCTCAGAAAAAGGCCTTGCCTGACTACTCTTGCCAAAATATCCTCATTCATTCATTCATTCATTCATTCAGGTAATCTCTATACCCAGTGTGGGGCTCAAACTCACCACTCTGAGGTCAAGAATCACATGCTCTACCTCCGACTGAGCCAGCCAGCCGCCCCATCCCCCTTTATTTTAATATATCATCCCATCTTACTTTCCTTACAGCACTTATTACAATCTGAAAACATCTTATTTACTTTCTGTCTCCCCATTAGAACATTAGCCTCACGAGGTCAGGACTCTCTGTCTGTCTTGTTCACTGCTCTGCCCAGGTCACCCGCCACAGTGCCCGGCACACGGCCCACCCTTGATAAACATCCGTTGAATAACGAGATAAATACCACTTCTGAGAGGTAGTGAGTTCCCCATTAAGAGAGGTAGCCAGGCTGAAGCAGAGGGATCGTACCTCGCAATTCATGCTGCAAGGCCCCAACCCGGGTCCTCTCCAGCCTCAGTTTCCTCATTAATAAAATGGGTCCGCGGGCGGATGGACCCCTGGCTCGGCTCCTGCCTGCGATCCCCGCGGGGGCCGCCAGGGGGCGCGGCGTCTCTGCCCAAAGCCCGCCTGCGGCCGCCCGAGCCCCGGTGGACGCGTCCCGACGTTCCTGGAACGTTCTGAGCCCCGGCGAGCGGAACCCGGGAGGCTCGAGCGGATGCGAGGCGTCCGGAGCCGGCGGGCCGGGCTCCTCGCCGCGCAGGGGGGCGGGCGGGAGGGAGGTGACTCAGGCGCGCGCCCCCGGCCCCCAGTTCTCGCGAGGGGGCGCGCACGGCCTCGGGAACCCGCGCGGCGCCGCGTCCATTTTTACCCGAGCGCCGCTAAAAATAGTCGCCGCGCTCGGAGCCGAGCCCGAAATAGCGGCCCCCAGATAAGGCAGGACGACTCAGCGCTTCCGGGGAGCGGAAGGGGAGGCAGCGGGGGGCGGAGGATGGTGCCGGGCTCCGCGGGGCCTCGCCGCGCAGTCCCGGCCGGTACCCGCCCCCCCGCCCTGGCCACCGCGCTGCCCCCAGCCTGTCCCCAGCCTGGCTTCACCCCCCCACACTGCCCCCCTCGCATTGCCCATCTCCTGTCCCCGTCCACCCTCAGCTTCCCCTCCATCCCTCATCCCTGACCGCTGGCCCTCCTCTCCCCTTCCCTCTCCCAATCTTCAGTCCCAGCCCTGCCCTGCGACCGTGTCCCCAACGGGTATTCATCCCCAGCCCTCAACCTGCCCGTCCCGGAGCCCTGGCCCTATTCTCCCTCAGCCACAGCACCGATCTGTTGCCTTTCTGAATCTGCCTCTGCCCCCCTCCCCATCCCGTTTCTCAGCCCAACTTCTGACGGGCAGGGGTGGGTTGCGGGGGAGATGGGGAGATCACAGGAAATCAGACAAGCTGAGTGTTGGTGGGGAGGCTCTTTGACTTCTTGGTTTGTTTCTACAGTGGACCCGGTAGGTTTAGGTCTGGGTCTGTGTCAGTTTCCTCACCCGATGCCCAGCGTTAGGATTCAGGCTGGGGCCAAGACACGGGTCTTCCGTCACCAATATTGGGGTCGTCAGAGTCAGGGCACAGCCCAGCACTCACTGTTTTGTTCCCAGTCCTAAATCCCCTACAGTTCTTTCCTCCTTTGCAAGTCAGTGATCGGACACAACAGCTCCAGGCCTGGGGACAGGGAGTAGGACAGCCAGAACCCTGCTTCCTCTGGGCCTAGGTGTCCCCTTTGCACTTGGATCCTCTAAGGCACCTTCCTATTCTGATATCCTGTGACTCTCAGTGCTTAGTCCAAGAATCAGCCTCAAGGAATCTTACACCGCATTTTCCAAAGGTTCAAAGCCAATACCGACATCTTCTAGTCTCTGAAACATCATAGGACAGAGGAACTGCCTGTCCTGTGTGGCCCCGGGAAGCAGGGTGTAGTGGACAGATGTTGGTTCAGGCAGAACTGCTTGGCTGTGGATGGAAGGCCTCAAGTGGTGGTAAGGTCCCTGACCCTAGAGGACACCAAGCTTCAGCCAGGTGCCCGTTCAT